AACTAATAGAATAACCACTTGGTTTGTGCAGTTTCAAATAACTTAATTCCTAAATGGAAGCCACAATCAACACGTCTCAAATGTTCTCTAATGCAGTCTTACAGCTACTTTATCTGCCTGAAGAAACAGATCTGAATTCCATCACCCACTTTTCAATCCTGATTTCCTCTTATTTCACTGCTTTAGAAAGACTTCCTGCCTTTTAAAGATGACACCTTCCTGTGCTATCTCTTTTTGCTGGGAAGCAAGGAGACAAGAAATCTTAAGGTATCCAAAGTGGCCAACATGGCTTCTAGTAGGAAGCAGATAGCTTGGGATCTGTTTGTATCTGACTTTAAGATTACCAGAAAACTAAAGTCTTACAAAAATATCTTGTAATTTTATCTATTTATTACAACCAACTTGTGGAATTTGACCAACTTTCATTTTTTTCTCCCTTAAGAATGAATGTATTGTATGTTAATCACTGACACAGAGTCAAGGCCTGAAGTGCACTCACTGGCTTGTGTGGGTTTGTTCACTCAATCTTCATTTTTCCTTCTTAGAAGTCTCCTCTGGGAGGCACATTATAGAAGGCTTGGTGGTGGCCTTCAAACATGTGGTATGCTAATGTAAACGAACCTCTTACTGAACTCATTTATGTTGTGTCTGCACCATCTGTGCCAAGTGTTTCTCACTTTTCTCAGAATGAAAAAGGTGCGGTCAAATGTGGTCAGAATACTATCATCGCTGTATCAAGTTGCATAATCTTACATCCTGCTGATTTACTCAGAGCTTCCTTAAAGGCCAGGCAACTTCATTTGTGACTCAGCAGTCTTTGAGAATCAATTACTTCCAAAATCTGTTGTCTGCCTCCTTTGGACTGTCCCTCTATACTCAAACCTAGGAGCTATTCAAAATGTGTACTCTCTTGTCCCCAGTTCAGGATCATAGTTTGTTAATTTTCTTTCCTGGTCTATTTTGGGCCTTCTTCCTTTTTCCCACCTCCAAAATGCCTGTATCAAACTGCTTTAATATGTAAGCTGTATTGTTCATATGAAAAAAAGTGGAAAAGGAACTCAGCTTTGAGCTTGCAAGCATCTCACAACACACGGTGTATTTCAAAATGGCCAAAAGAGAACTTAGTGGCTGAAGAGATGCAAATGCTTACTTCCTTGACGTGATTAATACATATTTTATACGCAAAACTACCATTAGGCACAAAGACAAATTTTAAAATAAAATCAAAAAATTGTTATACCTGGAAATTACTTTGCAGCTTTAGGTTCCATTTCAATTTTCTTTTTTTTAAAATATTTATTTATTTATTATGTATACAATATTCTTTCTGTGTGTATGCCTGCAGGCCAGAAGAGGGCACCAGACCCCATTACAGATGGTTGTGAGCCACCATGTGGTTGCTGGGAATTGAACTCAGGACCTTTGGAAGAGCAGGCAATGCTCTTAACCTCTGAGCCCCCATTTCAATTTTCTAACTCAGTATGTAGAGCTGGGGACCAAGCACTCGCATTTCTAACCAATTTTCATTGAGGGATGATCAAGCTAGTCTAGAAATGGTATTCTGACTACCACTGGCCCACCAGAAAACAAAAACCTAATGATCCTGAACTGTTTAGTAGCTAAACCCTTATCCCTATATCAGGAATAGTTGTAGACACTGTAAATTTGTCCGTTTTCAACCGAGCTTACATTAACAGGGAAGCAAAGCTGCGTTTGCTGGTGTTTGACTGCAGGTTCTAGCGTTCACATCTACAAGGTATTTAACACTACCTGAATGGCTATGAAAACTATTAGGATTTGTTGCATTGAGGATTCTGCGTTTTCCTTCAATCATCTTGGGAGAAACCACACTCTAAGAGTTGTCAAATCACAAACGATGAGTTTTTAATAGACTATCAACCAAAGCCATCCAGGCAAAAATGACATATTTTGTGAAATTATTTTCTAACAAAACATACCATTTGCTAAGAGCGACCCGTTTCCCATGCAACGTGGCAGTATTTTAGAAAACCTATCCATTCGGCTGATCATACAGAGTATGTCTGGACACAGACGCAGGGAACAAATTCCCAATGTCTGAGTGTGCCATCTTTATTCCACAGCTTACTGGCTTCAACTCTGAGTCTAACCAGTGACATGAATCCTTTTCCTTACCTGTAGTACAAAACAACATCCCTCACAGAGTAGCCGTGAGCAGTTAAGTTTTCGTGCACCGATGTTCTTAAAACAATGCCAGTCCATTACTGGTGTATGCTTGTCATTGACAGCTACCCAAATATGCCAAATAGTGAGTGCAGTAGAAGATAGGCTCCCATTAGTTGGTCCAAACAGAAGCAGCCAAAGCAACATGCAGGCAGCAAAAAGACTAACAAGTAAAACATAAAACAGGAAGACTTATCCAACATCTTTGTTGTTTATTTGGTGCTTCAAGCTTTGGGAGGTTTTCCTTTTTCATGTTTAATTAGACTAATTAGGAAAATCTTTTTTAAAAAGATAATTATATAATTTAATTACTTCAATAGGATATCTGCTTAGTGGAAAAGGAGTAACAACTAAAGCTATTTTGATACAAAATCTTTAAGTGACCTAAAAATGTCTAAAGACCATCCATGAAAATAGTCTTTGTAAACCTATTCTTGAAGAAATTCCACACATCTAAGAATGCCACAAAAACTCAAAAACAAAGCACAAAGTTCATACAGAGAAACTTGGCAAGCTAGGTGTTTTAGGGATAATGAATGCTACACGTCCAAGGGCACAGGCATCTATCATTGATTAAAAGGCCCATGCAGGCGGGATGAAATGTAGTTGTAAGAACAAGAGACAAGCAAGCAGGGAAAAACATGACCTACCGACGAAAGAAATCAGACATGCCAATAAAAACCTCAAAATAACAAGCTGAACTTAATAGCTCATATTTTAGAATAAAGCCATGGAGCAATACTGGATAAATTACTATAGATTAAAGTCAAATAAGATAATCTGCAACAAAACCCCAGCAAAAAACAATCCTTACTTTTCAAACTTAAAGAGTTAAAAAAAAAAAAAAAACAATATATACTTAAGTATCTTTAAGAGTTTTTAAAGTTTACTACGGGTGTATACAACACGCAATTTTCAGAGTGATCTTATTCATTCATTCATGCTGCGTGTTTGTGGGTGCTCATCACACATGCCAGAAGAGGGCAACAGATCCACTGGAGTTGAAATTACAGGTTATAAGCTAACCACAATGGGTGCTGGCAAGTGAACTCAGCTCCTCTGGAGTTGAAGTGCTCTTAACCACTGCACACTATTTCTCCCGTTCCCAGAGAATCATTTTAAGAAAAGGGTTAGAAGCAGTAACTCAGAACTCAAAGTATCTGCAAGAATCTTTTAATAGTTCTCTTCATTCTGATGAACTGATAAGAAAATCAAACAAGATCTATGTAAAGACAAAATCCCTAGCACAAGATACAATGGCAAAGCTCAACCAGTGCACTGACTATAGTTCTGTAAATGTACAGTCAGCCTATAAACAGCTGATTTCAATTCATATTTTAATTGTTTACATTACTGGCTTACATTATAAGACAGGCTCCAAAAATTTCCCTTTAAGAATTCTATTAGAAAGGTTAAAATTAATCATTTTATTTTAAATTATGTAAAGATTAATGTCTTACTTCTGTAAACTTTTTATGTAAATTTTAACATGGGGAGATGACATACTAACCATAAAGAAAGCCTGGCAACCTAAAGTTATTTCAAAATAAGCAGTTAGAAAAGACAGGCCAATTTAGGATATTAATTCCTTTGTGCAAGCAAAACTAGGCAAGAAAAACAACATTTACGTTCCCATGCTACAATAAGTTACAACATGTATAAAATATATCTAGGTTTGGCTGCTTTGATGCTGTAATAAAAATGCATGTATGTAACAGAAATATCTTCGATCTAACAAGCATTTCATTAACCTTTCTTAATAAATTGACAGAGTAAAACATTCTTTAAAAATACTTGTTACTTTAACATAGAGTAAATACTGTTAATTTAACATAGAGTTTAATGTGATTTCATTTAATTTTTATCTGAGTGACACACAGAGGTTCTGGAAGGAAATAACAATTAAATGGTCACAAACGTAACCACCGCACAATGTACTAAAAATGAAAACAGTGCTGTGCAACCAGGTCTGAGGTTAGGAAACATCATTTGTTTTAACAGTAAAACCGATTCAACCTCTTCCCCCAGGCAGAAAGTAAGATCACTTTTCTAAATGAATTCATGTCTAACTAAAGACTTAAGAGACAATATTTGTATCCCAGTTTTTCATTGCCAAAAAAATGTGAGCATGCCCTTGTATCAGTAGAGCTTAAAGACTAGATTTGTGTCTTTACACTTGTTGACAGAACTAGATGGACAGAATGATGCATACAGTTGGCTGTATCTAACGTGAACAACATACTTGCCTGGTGCCCAGAGTCCAGAAGAGGGACCAGTAACTGAAGTAGAGTTCCTTGAGTATATAAGTTGCCATATGGGTGCAGGGAATCAACCCAACAGCCAGTGCTGTTAAGGGAGCTCTCTCCAATGCCCAACCAAATTCTTTATTAACTAAGATATTTTGACTATACTCATACTTTCTTTGTAAGAATTCCATTAATACCAACGTAAACACCTTTAACTTTCATTTTGATTTATACCAGTTTAAGGCACCAATTTACTAGAATTCTAACCTTCACATAACAGGTTTCCCCTTGAGCTGTGCCTCAAAAAGTAACCTATTCATTAACGGCTATAATTGGCATAAATATAAATGTTCTGTGTCATATAAAATTAATAGAAATGAGGTATAACATAAAATCAGTATTGTACTGGTAAACTTGTCAACCTCTTCGTGAAACCCTTAGAAAAATTCCAAAGAATCAGGCAGCTACACTAACACAGAACACGCAGTTGTCCTTGTTCTGTACTGCATACTTTGTTCTTGTCGCCTTGACCACAGCACACGACACAAACAATCAAGGGAGCAAAGGTTTATTTTGGCTCGCAGTTTCAGAGGATACAGTTTACATACAATGGCTGGGAGGCAGCACTGAGAGTGCTGGACAGAGGTGGCTCCATGCCCTGACAGCAGGGGTGTATAATCCTTAAAGACTCACTCCTAGAGAACCCAACCAGGCCCAACATCCAAAAAGTTCCACAGCCTTCAAAACAGAGCCGTAAATTGGGGACTCAAAACAAGCTCTCAGAGGCATTCCAGATTCAAGCCTCACACATACCTTAACACATCTCAACAAAGCTACACAGTCACAATTTTATAGAAACAGTTTTCATCTGGGAGACAGAGATAATCTCTAAGAGATTTAGACTAGAAATTTAATAAAATTTAATCAAAATATCATAAAAACACCTTTAAATAATTAAAAAGATTTTCAAAACATTATTGCTTACTCTTATGAAATGATAAATTTTAACCAAATTGATGCTTCTATAAACTTAATTTTATTTCCTATAGTCTTAAATTATATTGCTTGACAAGAACTATAGATATTGGTGTACCTTTCTGAAATTAAATGAACTGCAAACGAATTCTGTGAGCACTACAGAGACAGTGACTACACTGCTTTAGGGTTAGCACTACTGAAGTAACCACCTCATAGGGGAAACAAAACTTTATTACAGTAACAAAGTTCATGAAAAGGCCAATTAAATTTTTTATATTACACCTTTCTACCGTTCTAAGGCTAACGGTAATATAAGGATAAAAAAAATCCTTTTATTTCTCTGCTTATAATAATTTTTACTAAGAAATACTACAATTATACTTATGAGTTTTTTTCCTCCCTTTGTGTGTGGGGTAACAACTATGTTTTTATTATTGAGGAGACTTGGAGTCTTAATATGGAACTCAAAAGAAAGATAGAGGCACAAAAAAATCAAGAGACTTTGGCTTTAAAGAAACTCATGATAACCCTAAAATGGCAGATTAAAAAACAACAAAAAGGTTACAGCAGCAAGCTACTACTTCACCACACACATTGAGAACTCTAAATCAGACAAAAGTTTTCTGCTTCTCTTCCAATCAATCAGCAATTTCTTCTTTTTGTTTCTCCTGCTTTTTGGCTGTGGGCAGTTCAAGACTAGCCCACTGCATGGGCTCTGCCTTTCTCATGGTGATCTCAATCTTGGTTGCAGTCATAGTTACATAACTCCGTTTAACATCAATCACCTACAACACATCAAGAGTAAACATTAACTTGGTGCTTTTATTGGTCTCAGAAAAACACATCTTGCTCATTCTAATGTCAAAAATCAAGCCTCTGGAGCCATTTTTTATGCAATTTAAGTATCTTAATAGACACATTAAGGTTTCATTCATCAACTTTCCATGAGTATTCATTCTAATTTTTTTCATTATCAGGAAAAATAAATAAGTGGATTCATAATACTTACACCCCACAGTTTCACATTTTGATGAAATTCCTTCTCTCCTTCAAATACAATGTGAACATTTAACTGAAATAGATAAATTGTTATTTTTTGGTGGTAGATATTGAAAACCAGGCCTTAATACACACTAAGCATGCAGTAAAACAGTGAATCACATCCAGTCAAGAGTGATAACTGATCAGAGTGAAGGTTTGTGAAACCAAGCACTGATTACAAAGACAAGATGGACATTACTTAAACCATGAGAAAATGTCAATGGTGGCTCCCCAACTTCCTGCTTCCTTTAAGAAAATGAGTATGAGAATAAAAAAATTAACTGAAAGGTTCATACAGAAAAACCTGTATTTTGTGATTCTTCTAAGATACTACATATTTAGAAAACTTCAGAACACAGTGTTCTGAAGAACAAATTTTAGAAACACACAGAAACACTGATTTTTCACTTAAAATACTGTTTCTATAAAAGTCATTAATTTTCTGATCAGAGCTAAGAAGTCTGAGAAAATATGAACAAATAATGAGTTGAGGGTAATTTTACTCAGTCAGTTCATAGACTCACCAGTGTACTGTTTGCCTCCACCTGGCTGAGCTCTGGCAGTGAATTCTTAGCATACACTGAGATGGTAACTTCACCGCCAGTCTGATGCCAGTCATGTCTACATGGAACAACTTTCTTCCCCTGTAATGTAATACAAACCTTGTGATCTTAAGAGACAACATAACTTTTTTAAAACAACTCGCTCAGCTAATAGAGGAAAATTCACTATGCACAATGAAGCACTTAATGCTTTGGGGTAACACATCTAAAGATTCCACCAAGAGGTTTAAACAATAAACTATGATACAGATATCTTAACAAGTTTACGATGTGAGAACACCCTCATTTCTCCAGTTTGGCTTTTCTCCTTTAGGGCTATACAGTTACTGTTCACTTAGGAGACAATTTCACAAGCCTTACTAAACTTTATTCCATTCACATCCTATTGTCCATTAAGTTCTGTCACAGAGTCATTCTTTGAAGACAGAAATGAGAAAGGAATTTGTTTGGTAAGATAAACAAGACAACACAAGACTTGAAAGTCTGAGAACCTTGAGTTTATTTTGTACAAATGAAGAGGTTTGGGTGGTATTAGGGCTGGGGACTTAGCTCAGTACCATGCCTGCTTTGCAAGTATGAGGGGCTGAGTTTGGAACATCAACATAAAAAAAAAAAGTCACATATGGTAGCATGATTCTGTAATCCTGGTGCCAGAAGGTTAATCACAAGATTCCACAGCTGGAATGATGAGCTTTGGGCTCAGAGAGAACCCATATTTCATCAAACACGGTGATGACACAGGAAGACACCAAACACAGAACCATCATACCATGTATGCATGAACACACACACTGTCAACTAATAACTATTCCTATGATTATTAAATTATCTTGTCCTTTCATATTAGCATGCAGAAAATGTCAGTTTGCAGAAATCATCTGTTGACTGCGAGTCTTGAAATGACCATTATTCCTAGTGCTTTACTATAGTATCAATTCATTTCAAAAACAAATCACTTTTATTTAAAAGAAAGAAAAAATAGTTACATTTCACCAAGAAATACACTCTTAACTTTTAAACAAAAAGTGAAGCATAAAATTTATTTTTTGAAAGTATTTAAGGTTTTGATCTCAGAGAAAATATACAAGCATACCCCATTTTCTGCTAATAAAATATTTCTGCAAGTTTTATGGTAAGTAATCTATGATTCAAAATGACAACAATGACATACCAAAGACTGAACACATGTCTAGCCTGAAAGTTCATCCTTGAGTTAAAACATAGAAGTTTTATAAACCAGAAAGGTTCCTAAAGTTACCAATGTCAGCACAGCACAAAAATTTGTTTGGATTAATCATGCTATTAAAATAATAAGATCTGGCATACAAACCTTTATGTAGCAACAAACTGGTTTTATTTTCTCAACTTAAAGAGATTAAGGGTTAGGGTTCATAGCCCTAAAATATTTTGATAGGAACTGATGCACTGCAACTCTTTCCTCCTTGATAAATTTCCCCAGAGCAAGCAGAGGCATTCAAAGAAATCCCACTGTGAACACCAGATGGAGGGACCGTATGTATGGTGGAATTAATTTTGTGAGCAAAAAAAGAAGTAGAGGGCTAACTATTGGTTTAGTAACATTGAATTAATAAAGTGCTTTTATGAGACAATTTTCAAAGTAGGAAAGGCTGTGAACCTAATTTCTTCTAATACATTTTTAGATTTACTTTATGTGTGTGAGGGCTTGCTTTCCTTGCATGTATGTCTGTGTACCACATACATGTATGATGTCTAATGGTGAGTCTCTGGATGATGGGATGGGAACTGAATCTCAATCCTTTGAAAGAACAATAAGTGCTCTTACCCATGGAGCCAACTCTCTAGCCCCTGTGAAACTAATTTTAATAAGACAAGCATTTTCCAATTTTAGTAGGTTTAAAGTATTTCTGAAAACTCACATACCTGCATTAATACACACAGGGTTATTTTGTTGGGAGACTGAGATGCACTACTTTGTACATATGCCAATGCTTTACTTACCTTGTAAGAAAGCTAGTTTTATGCTATAAACACATGGTAATTTCAGATCTTTTAAACATGGCTTGGATGATCACAGGTCAGTATGTGAGCCTGAAAGGTGACTTACCGCATCTTTTTTAGTCCACACATGTTTCCCTTTTGTGCAGCCCTCCTGGGCTAAGAATGTATTAAAATCTGAGGTTTTTCTTCTACAACAGCTCCAATATTTCATCCTTTAAATCAGACAATGGATTAAAGTTATCATTAAAACAGATGTAATTAAGAAATAAATACTCCAACTTTAAATATCTTGCAAGTATTTATTAGTGAACAGTTAAAATGGATACATACTAGGAAAACTAATTATTTAAAAACCAGGGTGACATTTATTTTATTAACTTAGCTTTTGAATAAATCTATAATCACAAATTCCAAGCCTAGTTTCTCACTGAGAATGTACACCCTAACTCCTTCATGAAGCTACCAAAAGTGATATGAATGAATACTGTAATAGCCACACTTCAACAACCCACTAAAGACCAAGGAACAAGGTAGAAACTAGTGCTTCCACACATGATGGAACGATCTCAAAGAAGGAAAAACCACTACTACTAACTTGAGATAAAACCCTGCATAGGTAACTGAAAATTACGTATCTCCAGGCATCCGAAGTATTTGAAAACACAGTATAGAGACAAACTCAAAATTGAGAGTTATGAAAAAGCATGGGCTTTCCGTGCCCCATGGCCAAAAATTCTAATGTCCTAAAAATGAATGACAGTCTTTTAAGAAAAGCAATTCAGGCCACTCGGTAGGACATGCCTCTAAGTGCTCTCTGCAGGAGGCTAAGGCCTGAGTATCTTGAGGTAGAGGCAATGCACACAACCAAAGTCTAAATAAGAACACACTGAAAAATTACAATGATTACTTAAAAATTATGAAGGCAACTAACTGCCTCTGCCCTTTTCTTAGATTATAAGGATTAAATGGTAATGTAGGTAAAATTTTTCCAAAAACTGCATGGCAATGTTTAAAGATATAAAAGTTTAATATTTTGAATTACTACTATAAATTTATTAGGAATGCATAAATTACCCCTCATGGAAAATAGGTACTCCAGAATGATACACACAGACTTCGTCTAGACTCTGTAGACCCTGGTATGTCTAAAAAACAAAGACAGAGAGAAAAAATTAGCTGTTCATCTCACACTTGCATCTTACACCTATCTGTAGTACTCGTTACCTATAAGGCCTTTAGAAAATACTTAAATAACAGCAGGTATAAGAACACTGGTAAATTCATCAAGAAGTGGAAAATGCCTCTCTTTTGAACATAAATAAACTATAGATTCCTGCAAAGAAAGAAATCAGAAAGGTAGCCAACTTACTAAATAAGAGGCTTTAAGGCTTTTAGGCATGAGGTTACAATGAACTAAGTTCAAATATTTAAATTTACAGAAATGTGTTGGAATCAGGGGTCTTACACTCTTCCGAAAACAGAGTATGATTTATGTGTTTAGTATACTCTGTGTGGGCATCACTAATTAATATGGAAAATCTAAAAAGCAATTCTGGAAGTTTCAGGAAATGGTGATATCTTATCCCTACAAATGGTAAAATGGGCTGCAGACCTATATAAACATCCATGGTTTGTCTGGAAGATCCGGGCCCCACTGCTGCTGTACATGAAGGCTCTACAGATGAATTCACAAAAAGTTATGTTAATAAAACATGGATGTAGCTGATAGTATGTTCTCTAATTTTATAATCATACTAACTAAAGTAGAGAAGACCAAGATTTTGTGTTTCTTTTCTGTAGGTCCAAAGTACTAGGTGTTTATCACCTTAAGTACATAAATTCCAGTATATTAGAATCTGAACTTATCATTACTGCCACCTAAATGTCTCTTTTCTTATCTTATCCAATGGCACCAAATGCATCCAGTCCTCCAAATCTGAATCAGTACATCTGTCCTTTTTACCTCTGAAGTTATCACAAAATCTGGTCAAACTCAAAAGACTAACCTGTTTAAATTCACTCAAGGACTAGCAAATGCTCCTTGAATGTCCTTTATTTAAAAAAAAAAAATCTCGTATTTTCCACCATACTCTGTGTTTTACATAAAGTACCCCTGCATGAAAAAATGTAGCTCAGAACAAGTGGTGCAGGAGACTTGTCTGTATACTGTCAATCATGTTTTAAATAAACCGTGATTGGCCAGGCAGGAAGTATAGGTGGGTCAACCAGACAGGAAGTAGAGGCGGGGCGATGAAAACAGGAGAATTCTGGGAAGGAGGAAACCCATTCCTCCCATTCCAGCCCAGACCACCGAAGAAGCAACATGTGACATGCCCCACTGAAAATGGTACTGAACCACATGGCTAACATAGATAAGAATAATGGGTTAATATAAGCTACCAGAGCTAATAAGAAGACTGAGCTAATGGGCCAATTGGTTTATAACCTAATGTAGACTTTGTGTGATTTCTTTAGGGCTTGCCAGCTGTGGGGTACCGGGTGGGACATTAACCCCAACAAGCCGGCCCATCATGTTACAAACAAGTACTTCTTAAAGTAGAACACTGCCAACAAAGGAAAAAAAAAAAAAAAGGAAAACTTCCATTTCATGAAAACTGAAAGTCCCTTTGTTTATCAATGGCATCATCAACCCAGTGGAAATCAAATGAAATACCTCTGACAAGAGACCTGGAGCTAAAAGATATGAATAGTTCCTACAAGACTGCTAGGGAAAGGATGACAAGAAAGGCTAGCAGAGAGATCGTGGGCATGTGGTCAGAGAGGAAAGACCTGAGCAGTAGGCACATCAGTGGGCACATAACACCACTGAGGTCAAGGAAACACAAAGTAAGAAGACTGTATGCTCTATCACAAGAGCTGAACTATAAAACACTGATACGACAAAAGGAGCCAATGTGGATCCAATTCATCAGTACTGACAAGCATATAGAATATGCAACCTTTTGAAATCTCCTATGTCTACGTATCTGCTGAAAATGAACACATACATCTAATTCCATTTCTAGTATGTCACACACTGAAGTGTTTAAGGTCAGTGTTATTAAAAAAAAAAACAGTGGGAAGGAAAAATCAATTATCAATTGTAGCACATGCTCAACAATGACATTCACAAAGCACCCAAAAGGGCAAGATTATGGTTATATTCCCTAAAACAAACCTAACAAACCCAAGTGAAAATTAAGAAAGAGGACAAAGAGAGCAAGATACGTGCTGACAGATAATCTTTTCAGGGGAACATGTGAAGAAGCTGAAGATACTGCCGGCTTCATTTTGAAAGTCATCAAGTTTAAGTTTGTTCGTGAACAAGTTCTAACAAATTTCACTATTTCAATGAAATAGGTTAAATATTTCTTAAATCCTCTAACCTAAAAATTTAATTTTTCACCACTAAAGGCACTTAAATTTGGTTATCTCTTAATTTCAACCCATATAAGGAAACAGTATTATGACATTCCCATTATTTTCTCTGTATTACTGCAATCAGTTTTGTTAGATATACCTCCCTCACCCCATTGTTGATACTTTTATTGAGTTGAATTTCTGCTTGGACTCTGCCACCTGTACTGCCTTTCCTACTCTCTACCAACAGCACCCAACTAAGAACCCTGTGACCTCTAACGGCAAACTGCCCGTGAGACTGGAGACTGGTGCAATGGTAGCATGAATATGAGGGCATAACAAATTGCCCTTTGACTGGATTCAAGGCCCACCCCAGAAGATTCAATCCACACCTCAAACTATTAATGAGGCCAGAACCCAAGGCTAGACAGGTAGACCATGTGCTCTGGGGGAAAACTACTACTTCTCTGCTAAATGAACAACACAGGGAAATATATATCGCTAACCATAGATCAGAGAAGCTTCTTGTGTTTGATGGTAACTAACAGACAATTTGACAGTAGGTAGACAATGCGAAAGCTTGGAGCACTCAGCCATAAATGGGATGTCTGAATATTCAAGGCTCAGGAATCTACGAAGTAGATTCTATGAGCCAGAAGTGGTGGATGACTCCAATGAAACAGCGTGCTCCAGATAGAACTTATGTACATACGAACAGAGACCGTGACAGCATGCACAAGACTTGAAGGGGGTAGGGGGGAGCATAAGAAAAACTCCAGCACGGAGAAGGGAAAGTGGGCACACCTAACCAAGAAGCAATTTGCAACTGGTACCTGGTGAGAAAGGGGGGGGGGGGGAATCTAACCATGCTCCAGGACAGGCTTCACGATCACGAGGAGCTGACCAAAACAAAACAGATTTCAGTTTTTATATGTGTGCACTTTCAGTTATGATTCGGTGATTTACTTATTTCTTGAGAGAAAGAGAAAGAACATGAAGTTGGGTGGGTAGGGAGGATTTGGAAAGGCTTGGGAATATGAAAAGAATACTACCAAATTAAATTAAATGAAATTCAAAAAAAGTAATAAAATTGAGAATGAAAAAAAAATTTACCCCTTTTTACTTACAACTTCTACCTTATACATATGAGGTTCTACTTCTGTTTCCATTCCACTTTTAGTAAGCAAGGGAATCTCAAACATCATAGAAGGAAAACAAACCTGCTGACATCCCATCTTCACTCTTAACTATAACTGGTCCGGCAACGATAAAGATACCACTTTTATTGTTATTTCATTATTTTATCAGCATGAGTATTTTGCCTAATCATGTCTATGCACCAAATGTGTGCCTGGAGCCCAGGGAGGACAAAAGAGGTAATGGACCCCCTTGACCTAGAGTTGCACATGGTTGTGAAGTGCCATATAGATGGTTAGAATCAAGCCTAGGCTGTATGAAGGAGCAGTCACTGCTCTTAATCGTTTCAGACACTTGTGTCCCTTATTTTAACTAATAGACTACTTAAACAATGGACCCCAAAAAAGAAAATTACCCACAGGAATATCATGCTGGAAGAGAAGGCCTAAATTCTGTGCCAGTCAAATGGAAAAGCCACACCATGATGAGTTTATGGTTGGTGGAACCAGACCTTGATTGGGACCTGGTGTAGGAAGTCCTTCTGTCTATGTGTAGCTTTTATTGATTAATGAATAAATCTGTTTCAGCCAGTGACTTAGCAGAATATGGCAAGGCAGGAGTTCCAAGCAGATAGAGGAAGAGAGAGTAGGAGGAATCACGGAAATGCCATGTAGCCACCACAGGGGAAAGATGCGACCTGCCATCTGGAACCTTGCTGGTAGGCCACGACCCTCACAGTTAAATATAAAATAATGGAAATGGGTTAATTCTAGATGTAGGAGCTAACTAGCAATAGGCTTAAAGCTTCTGGCCAAGCAGTACTGCAAATAATATGGTTTCTAAGTGATTATTTTGGGTCTGAGTAGCCAGAATGAACAAACGGCTGCTCCCAACAGAGACCACTTAGTTATACATACCTCTAGGCCTCTATTTAAGCCATCTCTTACAGAAAATGGACTGGTGGCGGGGGAGGGGGCGTTGGAGGGGGTGAGGGGGACCTGCTGGATCTTTGTCCCTCTTCCCAATGTGATCACATGTATTAAAAAAAAAGCCTTTCCTGCTTTTCTCAGATTAATTTATCTATTTAAAAATTGGCTTATCAAAGATGGGTGTCTGAACTTGGCTTCTTGGGGCTTAGGCTGTGACCCGAAATTCACTAATTATCCATATTCTTGAAGACACAAGTATTCAAAGTATATTACTTCCTTAACCACGCTTTCAATGATTGCCCAAGCCCTGGGATCTTGCATGCCCTGAGTAGCACAGATCTAAAGCCTCTCGACCTGCTCCCTCTAGGGATGGTTCTACTCCCAGGTTTAGTCCTCCTCCCCCCAATTCCAACCTAGTACCGCATCAGAAAGATCTTCACCAACAAATCTTATTTAAGTAGGCCCTGACTGGAACCTCTGTAGTTGCTCTGTTTATTAAATTTACTTCAAGTGTGTCTGAATTAATTATTCAATGGTCTAGTCTGTTCTCTTGCTCACATAATATATTCACTCCTCAGGTTTTTGTGTGATACTATTGTCTCCAGCCCCTGAACCAATGTCTAGCATATATCAAATGCTTAGTAATTGTCAATTAAATTAGATTTATTCCCATAATTCTACCAGATGTTCCTCTTAGAAAAATCTCTACTGTATTTATAGTCCTAGTGTTCAACAAAGTACCCAACATTTAACTAGCATCCAGATGTCTGCTACCTTTAGAGTGATTCAGAGCCCTTTGCGTCCATGTTAAAATTTTACTCCATAAAGCCAAAGTTTTATAATATATACCTTTGAACACCCTCCATTTTTACAAGAAGTCCCAATCTTAATTTCATCACTGTCTTCTTCTGCAATGGAAAAAAGGTAACACAAAGTTTCATAACTATGTTCTTTTAAAACAGAGGAATAAAATCTAAAACTACAATATTAAAATAGAACCCCACAGTTGTATTAGTATTAAAAATAATCTTTCTATAAAATAAGTAAGATTTAAAGAAAAAGAAATAGAGAAAAAGAAACCCACAGCCCAGCTGATCTGGTGCTGTACATTCCAGCACTTTGAAGGCTGAGGCAAGAGGGCTATGAATTCTAAGATACCCTCAATCACAAAGCAATATCCAAGACAAGCTACCGGACAATTCTCTCCAAACAAAAGAAACAAAAAGCTGGACATCTAGTTTTGCGTATATGCCCCCAAATGATATGTTTTCATTCTATAATGCAGAGCTTATCCAATTTTAAAGCTCTTTTTTTTTTTTCCCCCGAGACAGGGTTTCTCTGTGGCTTTTAAAGCTCTTATACAGCAGAAATCACGGAAGGTATTTTTGCCCATTAATAGTAAGCAGAGGTCAATGGATAAGAAAATAGATTTTATAGGATGCGCAAAAACCATTTCAGTTATTGAAGAAATTTCGTTGATAAAGGAATTAAGGGGTGCTAAGTTTGCACACGGACATAATCGAGGAACTGAATGCTCTTTCATGGTGCCATCAGCATCTGGGAATGAAGTAAGTTCTTCCCTACAGTGTGCTACACTTCCACACACAGTGCTCTACAGCTACCTCTTACTTACATAGAAGAACATTGTGAAAAACAAAAAAACAGGGACTTACCTTTCTTATCTTCTTCATTCCCTGATGACAGTTTAAGCTTATCAAGTGCTTGTTTTAGGGAAGCAGATATTTTTAATTCCAAGTTTGTCATTGGCTCATCTGGGCTGGAGAATTTTGAAGCTATATTATCATCAATTGACCAAAGTATTTCTTTGTACTTAATATTGACGACCTTAAAAATCTTCCGTGAGTCATGAAATATTTGTTAAGTTATTCCTTTAAAAAGTATCTTATAAACATTTATCAATATTTTAACTTTTAATAAAATGATTCTTCTATTAAGAAATTAAGTTTCAAATAGTAAAGACACTGCTAGCATTAAAAGACACTACTACACAGTGGAGCTATAGGGAGTAAAGACTAGGAATGTAAACTCTGAGCACAAATTCTTAAGCACTAAGTGAAAGCATACTTATCTGTATTAGTAGAGTCAATTAACTTTATGTGGAGAAATGACATACAGACTTCCAAATTTAGATACAATTTTATGACAGTGCAAATCACAACCATCTTTTAATATTTCATAACGGTTAAGATTTTTATATATAATTTCCAAGTCTGGCAATAAGTGAATATTAAGACTATTAATAAATATAGCAATAAAATATATAATAGGTAATTTGCTCTGCATCCACAATGATGAACTGGGAAACATTAATAAAGTACAGTGAAACAATTTAACTCATGTATCAAATGGATTTAAATAAAACGTTTAAGTGATGGACAGCTACCTCACTGATTAGGAGAACATAGTGTTCTTTCAAAAGATTGGGAGCAAGAGTTCTAACTCTGGTTCCAGGAGAATCAGATGTTCTCTATAGGTACCAGGAATGGAAGTGCTCAGATACACATGCAGGCAAAACATACCCATACAGATTAAAAAAAAAAAATACATTTAATTTTTTTCATAGCCTCCTAAGTAGAACATAAATCTGAAGTCCATCATTTAAAAAATGGTATTAACTCATACTATTATTATATTCTAGGAAACTCTACTGTGATGTAACAGATTAAAACACAACCTATAACAGAATTGTTGTCTTTTTCCAGTACTTTTTTTAATGGCCTAGGCTTGTGTTTGACAGTCTACTAAGACTGAATAATGCAGGTGGAATAAAAGCATTCCGATCTTGAACTATAGCCTATACTTCAAAATATTAATGAGCAAACAAACATTGAAACTTAGGATTCTCGTGCTATATATGTAAGTCTATAAATTTATTTAAGTATAATAAAGAAAAAGGAAGATTGTAAATTTATAGCGTGAATAAAAGCTTCAATTGATTTAAATGATTTCTCAGGCTTGTATTGAAAAATAACTCATCTGAGAGACATATCTAGAGCCCAAATCCTGAGTTTACATTTTGTAGTTCAAGTTCTAAAACAACCATTATTTAAGTGCAGTTTGAGGCTCTTGTGTTACACAAGTAAACCCATTAATATCTTTCATAATATAGACTTGTTTGAACAGAAGGAGATTAGGAGATTATGAACAATCTAATTCTACTTCAAACTGAGGCAAAAGCTATTCTTAAAGTATTTTGACAGGCAGGCTATCACAAATCAAATAAAATAAAACTCTCCAAGTACTAATGAAAGTAACTAATATTCAACCTGAAAGTACAGGTAAGTGGCCTCTACTTTAGGCCTCTGTGGCCCTTTAATTTAAACTAGCTGTACATACGGACAATTCTTTTACTGAATTCCACCATGCCACATGGGAAAGATACACCAGAAAATGAAGACGTACAACTTCCCAATTGTGGGCATGCTCTCAAAAATGACAGGGTTATTGCCAAAAGAAAAACACATACAGTGGCCTCATTAGAAATGCCTTTATATACGATGTTAGAAAGAATTACCACTGGTAAATGCCATTATCATAGTCTTACAAATACAAACAGCTGTATAGAGTATACCTTGGCCTTTTTATTGCTTCTACTGGTTTAGGGGCTTGAATGATGTGTTCCTGAAATTTGGGTTTTAATTCAGACAGCTCTTTCTTCTCTGTAGTCTTGACTTCAGGCTTGACTGGTTCAGGTGGCTTCTCACTGTTATGCCTACCTTTTGTACATCCCTGTCAGTAAAAGATACAAACGAACAGTTATGCTTTCACCTACTTTATGTATTATGCATGTTTGTATTTTGGGTGCTTTAAGAAGCAAATTATGTATATATGCCAAAGCCTATTCAAAAAGGCCACCGTCTGCAGTCTCAGTCGTTAGAGTGCTTGTCTAGCATGTAGCTCTGAGTGTGACCTCCAATACCACTAAGCCTGGTGTAGTTTCAGCTGTAATCTCAGAATTTGGATTCGGAAGTTAGAAGTTCAGGAGTTCAAGGTCATCCTCACTTGTACTTGGGTTTTGTGAGACCCTGCCTTAAAACAAGACTCTCAATCTAACATCTCAATCTAAGCTTCAACTTTCCTATTAAACTGAAATATGTCTTAGCTTGAATAATCTTTTACAACTCATTTTTCTCATCTATAATATAGAAACAGCTTTCTTTCTTGGTGCCATATAAAACAATGAACCATCCCGTTGGTTTCTTTTTACTGCCTCTAATTAAAAACGCTTTATCATTGCCTGCCTGTGACTTCCTTCTTTTCAGGACTACCAAAATCAAGAATGTAAAATATATTTATGTATATATGGTATGCATGGTTTGTAGTTAACATAAAATCCTATTCTCCAAGGCAAACAAAGGATTTCTAGAGGCTGTGGAAGAGATGACTCCCCTCTGGCGTGCCCTGATAGCTGCGTTAGTGGACAGCAGTGATCTGACTGCTCCACCTGCAGTTTCTAGGAGGATGTCCTTTGAGAAATATAAAAAGAAATATAAAAAGTACTTACTACAATGCTTAAAAAGTCAGAAAAATCAGTCGTTCTTCTCTTACAGCAGGACCAACCCTATAAAACAAGGAAAAATAAGCAAGCAGACCTTAAAACTGTGCTGCTCTTCCTCCTTAACCCTGACACACACACACGAGTTCACTTTTCTTTTTCCTTTTTGATTTTCGAGACAGGGTTTCTCTGTAGCTTTGGTTCCTGTCCTGGAACTAGCTCTGTAGACCAGGCTGGCCTCGAACTCAGAGATCCGCCTTCCTCTGCCTCCGGAGTGCTGGGATTAAAGGCGTGTCCCACCACCATCTGGCATGAGTTCAGTTTTATTAAGGTGCTTCCTAATCACATGACTTTTTAAATAATCACTAACTATTTAAAATAGAAAATCAGAAGCTTTTGATTTGTTTATGAATACTATTTGACCTTTAGAAAAAAAGTTTTTAAACATCATCTACTGGACTACGGATTAACTCACTGGAATTCTTGCCTAGTGCCAAGTTCAATTCCAACAACCACTCTTTAATTCATGTATTTAAAGAATCTGACGAATAAGGTCATTAACATGAGGGGAGCCTATTAAGTAACAATTATAGCACTGTCGTTTCTAAACAGTTAAACTAACCTTTCAGCGAGAAGCGGAGCAGACAAAAGCAACTGAAGTAAGTAAGGTTTTAACCAACTGTCAAATGACTCTTTGGGATTCAAGCAAGTAGTTTATAAAACCTGGAAAGGAGACAGATGTCACCTGTTATAATGCCCTCTTCTGGCCACCAAGTTAAAAATGAGCCAGGGGGCTCCTACTCTAAGGCTACCCACCCAGAGCAGTGAGCCTCAAGGTCCCCAGTAAGAGAGCCCGGCACCCTCAGCCTGGGCTCCAGGGGCTCCTGTGCTCTCCTGGATCCCGCATTGCCTGCCCCATCCTTCCTTCTGTCCCTGGATCACTGGGCTACCAGGCGGCCCTGTTTAGGTGCTGAAGAGTTCCATCTGGACGGGTGAGTGTGTGCTATCCAGGGGCGATAGTCCC